TTTCATGATCACATTCATTTATTTTACTTTCATTATTCAATTTTCATTTGGTTATAATAATTTTATTTATTAAATCTGAAATTAGCTAATGGGGCATAGAATGGTTCGGTGACTTGTTGCTCAATTTGGATCGCCAATGCTGAGGTTCTATTCCCCACGGAGGCAAAAATGTCTAAAAGTCCAGGTAATGGTGGCGACTCACCTGTGCTTCTACTCCCGTTGGGGCCCTTGGCATATTTGTCTGGTATGATAGGCCGACGAAGCGAATCTAATCGGTAATGATGAGAATCCTTTAAAAAAAAGGAGCAATTAGATTGCTTTCGCTCGGAGTCACCATATACGTTAATTTTCCTTTGTATTACCTCAGTAATCCTTTCTAATCGTCGTTGATTATTATGCTGCAATATCATTTCTTGGCCAATTGCATATTTCGTTAATGCTCGTTTGTCTTACTTATACTTTCATTTAAGAAGTCGTTTAAAGTAGGAATTTAGGCTTTCATGCGTTTTCTTTTTTTCAATATGTGAAAAATCTTTTGTCGATAAGTTTTCAAAGAATTGCATCAATAAGGTTAAAAGATTAATTGGCTTTTGTTTCAAAATTTTCATGAAGATAGGTTTATGAAAAATATTTTTCATAATTTTTTAAGAGCATTATTGGTTAGATTCGCTCCTCTGGCAAATGTGCCAACGAGTTCTTCAGTAATAGAAGTACAAGTGAGACGCCAGCATCGCCCGGATTCTTGGGCAGGTTTGGTCCTGCGGGGTCCAGCATCGGCGCACCGAATTGAGCACCAACCCTCTGAGCCATTCTACTCTCTTTTGATTTTCTCTATTAGGCGTCAGCGCAACCGACAGAGGGTGTAATGCTGCCGAACTCGATCCTCGGTGGCAGATCTTGCCACTGAGTTACCGGTGTTATTATTTATTCACACAGCACACATATATATGTTTATGACATAAAACGAATAATTTAATGGCCTTGCGATTGTTATCAACTCATATATCTTCTATCATCATATTCCTGTCATTCATTCATGAATATAAATGGAAAGATTCATTCGATATAATCCTTCTAATAATCTTTTATTAATCTCATTGCCTAATTATATATTCGGCCATATGTTTATTTTGCATATAAATACGATTAATATTATTTTAATAATAAAATAATAATATTATTAATAATATTTTAAATGAATGTTGAAGTCTATCCAGGAATAATTAATTAATTAATAGTGATAACTGTTAATACTTTTTCGAATTTTAGAAGGTAATTTTAAACCTAAGTCAACTTTTTTTTTGTCCAGTTATCAGTCCATATTTTAATTATCGTAATGATATAATATGATAAGGGCGGCAATCTCGGAAAGCCTATCATCTATCAATAGATAAAAGTAGAAAAGAAATTTCCAATAGTATGTTTGAAGATTTGCGATTCTGAGGCCATTACTCGATTTATATCAATTAAAGCATGAGCTCTATCCTTTGGAACTTATTTCGATGACCTCTATAAAATAAAATTTTTTAAAATTTTCTGCTTTTAAGTGGTTTTAAAATAGTTCATCGAATATCTAACCGTAATGATAAAATGATTTATTGATGAATTAAAAATTACTGAAATATGGAAGAGAAAAACTAAAACTGATTACTTTGTTGATATAAAGCATCTAAAAAATTTTAATCTTAAAAAATCTTTAGAAATAGAAAACAAAGCTTTCATTTGCAAAATAAAAATGATTAATTCATGATTTTGATTCATTGAAATCATCGTCTAATGATAATTGAATTGATAATTGATTAAAATTATATTTTTAGAAGAACTCTAAAAATTGATTAATTCCTTTCGTTATTTGGTAATAATTTTTTAAACCTAAATCAACTCTTTATTATCAGCCATTATTATCGTAATGATAAGATATTATAAGAGCGACATCCTCGAAAAGCCTATCATCCATTTATAAAGTTTTTATTTTTTAATCATTTGTATTAATTTTCATTTTTAATAATTCATAATTTAATAATTTAATAATTTGAAATTCAAAAAAATAAACTTTAATTCGGAATATAATTAATATTTAAAATAAGCGATCGATGTGATTAAATCGAAACGAATATTTATCAATTCATTATTTAGCAAATCGTATAAAATATATATAATGTTGGTGATAATCAACTTTTATACAATCCGACAGTGAATGATAATTTACTATTCTTTTTGACATTAATCTTAATGAAAAAATTTAAAATTCACAAGGTCTTTATATGATGTGTTCATTTAAAAATTTCTTGAACGGCGATTATATGAACAGGAAAATTTAGTTACTAAAGCGCAATTCATGTTTTCTTCGAAATTTTATGATATGAAACGTTGTAATGAAAAAATTTCTTTATATGAACTGTTCCGCTTTTCACATTCCATTGGTACCTTAATGTGTCTAGCGGTACCTCAAAATGTTTAGTGGTACCTTGAGGTGTCTAGTGGTGCCCAAAATTATTAGTCAATAAAACGTAAAAATTTTGGAATTTTTTTGCATTTTCACATTTTACAAATGAAATTATAAATAGTTTTTGGATGAATTAAGAACGTATGAATTTTATAGAAATAACTGGTTGCAATGGAATTGAATGAAAAGAAATAAGAAATTTTGATTAAAAAAAAAAATGTATTGTTAAAATTGAATATATATAAAAAAAAGTTATTTTTGCGAACATTTGGCCTAATTCCGTTCATTCATCTTCTGATTCATTTGTTTGTCTCAAAATTTCCATTGTATTTATTACTTAGAATAACTCTTAGCAGTAATGACTTGGATCGGTGAATGCGTCAGCTGTTTTACTCGCCTTAGCATTCTGTTCCAATCCATGGCATTATAAATCCGCCATATCCGCCATAAACCATCATTCACATATTGTAAATCGGCAAAGAAGCCCATTCGTCTCAGCTTATAATTGTTGTCTCTCTTGCTTACCTCGCTTATAGATTTTAGGATGTTTTATATAAATTAAATTAATCCTAGGCGAAGGCCATTTCTGAGGGCCTTTTTTTATAATCATATGGCTGATTCATGAATGTACTGCAATTATCAGTATGAAAATTTATTTCACTGATAAGTTTTTCGAAATTCTTAAACTCTTTTATAATTCGGATTCGGCTTTCGCAATATTTTTAATAAATATTTATTTCGGTTCTTCGGTTCTAAATCGTTATTGAATGAATTACCAAATAAGATGGGATTTAAAATAAAAATATGAATTTTTTATATTTTTCTAAATAATTCTTAAAAAGCGGATAAAAAATAAATTTCGAAATTTCGTTTATTTTTTTTATTAATATTTATTGTTTCCTAACAAGTTGAGCATTTGTTTCATGAAAATCATTTGGCGAAATGAATATTTTAAACAAATAATTATCAATTAAATGTGTGATTAATTAAGTGAGGTAAAAATTCTTTCTGCATTTATTCTTTTTTTTTAAGAAACAATTAAAATTATTCAGAAAAGCTTTTTTTCATGGAACTATAATCGATTCACATAAAAAAATTTTTTATATTTGAGAGATTTTCGCTGGAAACATAAAGCAATGATAAGCAATGATAAATTTCCAGCGAATTCTAGTCAAGGCTCGAGACAAAATAAACTTATTGAAAATTGGTGAATGAGAGAGTTCAATAAAGATTTATAATGTAGTAATAATAACAACATTAATAGTAGTGATAACAACAAAAATATTGATAATAATTTTATCGAATTATCTTGATAAGAAATCATAGAAATCAGCGATTTTGATTTCGACAAATGTGAAATATGAATAAATCCTCCTTATGAATGATATATGGTAGGTACATTTGTCTATTTGTAATAAATATTAAGATTAAAGAAATTTAATGGGAACATAGCAAATAAGTCTTTAATTTTACTTTGGTTTACTGCGGTATTTTATATTTCAGTCTTTATTTCTTATCTTTCTTATATTTTCCTTTATCTTATGTGAATCTTTTCGTTTTCTCTAAAGGAAAGAAAATTAATAAATAAGGCCATATGGCTCATTAGACCTCAATTTTGTAAATCAGATCAGTCAGTCACAAATAACCACGTCTTTATGTGAATCCTCTCGTTTTCATATTCTTAAAGTTGTTGAGATAAATAAATTATCGTTATTTGATTAATTGTTAAATTTAATCAGTTTTTCTTCGTCTTAACAACGTACACCATTTCTTGTTTGATTGGTTCAACTGACCACTAGGATGCGACTTTTTCATCAGTTGGTGCACGAGAATAAATATTCGGTTATTTTAATTTTATCACCAAATTTATTCCTATCAATGAACAAATGCTGTTGCTTAGAACGACGATTCAGTGATTTCTTTTATTAAAATATTCTTTGGCAAATTATTCTTTCAATTATTAAAATTATTAATTTCTATAAAATTTATTTCTTTTTAAGTTTCTTTCTTTTATTTGAAAATTTTTTTGATTTTTTCTGAATTTTAGAATTGTTTTCACCGGAATAATTTCACCACAGAATTTTTTAATTTTGATTTATTTATTTTTCATTGAAAAATTGTAATAAAATTTTAAATATAGTGTTCGGTAACCTTGACAAATGGGTGAAGGTCTGCAATAAAGAGACGATCATTACTATATCAATACCAGCTGTGATTTATATATATATATGTAAATAAGCGATTGCCGTATCATAATTATCATCCACATCTTCCTTCTAACCTATTTCGATATTTTGTGATACTCGCTACTTATCATAAATCTAATCTGACCTTTTTTCGATATTTCAACTTTCATTTATTAATATTATATTTTCATTTTTATTTGATTTTTAAATAATTTTTATTTTAGTTAAAATTTTTTATCTAAAATTATACTTACCGACTTTTTTTTCTGTTTTTCTAAAAAGATTTTCATGGAAACGCTTTTTAAAATATAAAAAATATTAAATGAATTTTTACATAAATTTTTTTGTTTTTTAGGCACAAAATAAAAATGAAACTTCAATACCTTTTTATGTTAACTTTTATTGTTTTGGCATTCGCTCATCCGATAATTAAAGAAGGTTCGTTTTTTTGATTCGGCAAAAAACTTACAAATATTATTTTTATTTTAATTTATCCCATATGATATTGCGTTTTATTACTATTTATTTACTAAATTAAATTGGTTTATAACGAAGAAAAATTTTGGCAAATTTAGGTGGTGATGAAAAAACGAGCGAAATGAAAGAAGAAGTGGCTGCAACAGAAATTAGCGGTAAGGGCGAAATCACAACCGAAACTTCTCCCACTCATAATGAGGTTCGTTAATTATAGAATCTAAAATAATATCTGTTTGGTCCGTTAAATTGATCCATGTGGATACATACGATCCTTTCACCAGAAAGTCAGGAGGATGAACAGATTGATTGTCAAAAGTATTCTCATCTTGGTAGATCTCGAAATTTATATCTCTCTAAATTTCAATAAAAATTTTGATTTCTTAGAGTTTTACTGCAATATGCAATTCACAGGAAAATAAAAAAGAAGGAACACTAATGGAAGAATCAAAAAGTAAAGAAGAAGCATCAAAAAGCGATGAAAAAACTGATACGATGAAAACCGATGAAAAAGGAGATGAAGGAATGGTATCACATGAGAAGAAAGAGGAAAAGGATGAGAGTGAAGAAAAGAAGGATGATCATAAAAAAGAAAAATCTGATGAAAAGGAGAGCCATGAAGAAAGCGAGAAAAAAGAAACAAACGAGGAAAAAGGAGGAGAACTGAAGGAGGACCGGGGTCATGAAACAAAAGAAGAGAAAAAAGCGGAAGAAGAACATGAAAAATTGAAAAAATTTGCAATTCCCGAATCTGAGAAACACGACGACGCGAATGAATCGGAAATGGCAACAAAAGGCGACGAATCAACGCCAGAAGAGGGAAATAATACGGAAAGTCCAAATGAAGAGGAAGCAAAAACGGAACAGAAACCAGAAGAAGGAGCCAAAAAAGATAATGATGAAAAAGAGAAAGTGGAAAGCGAAAAAACTGAGGATGAAGCCAAGGGCGATGAACCAGTATGTTTATTTTTTTGCAAATTGGACCAAATGATTCCAGAATAAAGTGGTTCCACTTCAAAAAAGGATTTTATCATTTAGATATCCCATTTTCCCCAATATCAGTGATTGTGGATCGCCGTTCAAAAGTCTTTATTCATAGTGGTTAAATTTAAATCAGGTTGAATAAGTAAATTTCTATTCGTTTCATTTCAGTGCCTCGTCCTTCTTCGATAAATAAGTACCGTTTCTGATTTGGTTGGTTCCACTGACTATAAAACTGAGACACATTTCCAGCCAGCTAGTTCCATGTAGTTTTTTTAACATAAATATTCGATTCGACTGATTTTTCTTTATTTTTAATTTTTATGTATTTCAGGTTGCTCATTAGTCTGTTCGCCTATTTAAAATAGCAGTTTAACCAAAACGATATTTAAATGCGATCCATTCGCTTTCGAGCTTTATGAAAATTTTTCGAAATTATTCGATTTTCTTTTTTCGTTGGAAAAAACTCAATGTTTTTTTTTCAAAATCCTTTATGATTACGATCATTCTTAATGAATTTCTCATAATTCTTTACAAAAAAAACAAAAGAGTAGGCAATAACGATTTTCACCACCTACCTCGAACTTTTTTCATGTTTGGTTTGTGTGACTATCGGCCTACTTCTATTGATAATTGATAATTCCGTTGATAAATTGTGTTTTGAGCCGTCAATCGTTCCGAAACAAAGTTTTCCTCACAACAAATAAATTAAAGGATGATTTTAATTTTATCAATTTATATTAAACAAATTCGTTGATTATGTATTCGTTGTTCAATATTAAAAATTATGTTTCTTTATTTCTCGTTATTTCATAATACACAATTTAATTTCACAGATCGTTTGCATAAAAAAATCTTATTTTCTAAAAGATTAACAATTTTCTATTTTTCAAAAAAATTGAAAACAATAGCAAAAGAAATGAAAAATTTTGATTTTAAAGAAAAAAAGCATAAAATTACAATTTAATTAACTAAAAAACAAAATAAAATTTTTTTAAAAAGTTTTTTGTCTTTTCCTCATAACTGTTTTCTAAAAAAATATTTAAAAATATATTTTTTAATTATTCAATCAGTAAAAAATTGCACAAATTCGAAATCATTTTAGGAAAAAAATCCGAAAAAAATTTAAATTAATTAAAATAATTGAAAAAAATTAAAATAATTGTATTTATACTTCAGGAAGAAAAAAATAGAAAAAAATAATTATGAGGGAAAATAGCCTCCTTTTCTCCCTTTCATCGCCCCACTCCACTCACCTCCATCTCTCCAATTTCCCTAACGATTAAACGCAAATAAACAAGACGAGATTTTCAATATTTTATTGCCACCTAGTTCATTGGAGTTGTAAAATTTTTTTGCGATGACGAAAACCGTCAACAGTTCTCACTTTTGAAATTTATTATTTTAACCTGTTTTCTAATTGTTCTCAAATTAAATCTTTAATGTGTTCATAGCTTTTTTATAACATCTTTTTCTGCCAGTGCGTACCATTTTTGATTTGTTCAATTCAACTGAATAGGATTTCGAAATCTAATCTAATTCTGGTTGATTAAAATGAAATGAGAAAAAAATACGATTGTTTTCTCAAAGAGAAATATTTTAATTATTATTATTAGAAATTTATTTTAAATTACTATTAAATTATAAATTATTAAAAATATTAAATTATTGAAAATTTTCATTTTTCGTGTCATTTTTTAAATTTAAATTTTTTAAAAAAATATTTTTTCAATTATTTAGAATAAATTAGTACTGCAGACTATTATTGAACGATTTAGTGAAATAATTATGAAAATAATTTATTTTAATGAAAAAATATTATTTATTACAAAATTTAGTATTTAAAAGCTGCAATCTAAAAGGTAAATTTTTCTTTGATGAATGCAAATATTGTTTTTTTCTCATTTTAAAATCGTCCTTTTCGATATTCTGAAATACCAAATATTATTAAAAAAAAAACTCGAAAGTTGGTAAAATTGGCGAAAATCGCAAGGATATTAATTATATTATTCATATAAAAGACAATGATATTGATTATCTCAATTGCAATCACCACTTTTATAGACCCGTGATAATGGCCTATCGTAATAAATCAAGAAAAGGTATAAGCAATTCTACTGATAAAGGCGAAATCCACAAATTTTTTTGACTGAATTAAGGAAAATTGGTGCACATATTAGTCAGCAAATAGCTAATATTCCAGCAAGGAAATTTTTTAATCAATGTGAAAAAACCTTTTAAATGGTACCTAAAGCCCATGCTTTGATAAAATGTGATAATACCCTTCAGAATATTCTAAAGCAAGAATTCTAAATTACGTGAGTCGATATGGAAAAAAAGCTTTTTAATCTTATGAACTTAAATTCGCATTTCCCGCATTTATCAGTACGAGTGCTTAGTAGAATTAACAGGATTTGTGATTTTGTCACCAGTAGAAATATAAATATTTCTTATTCCACTGCTTTTCCACTGGCTTAGATATTTGGCAAATTCGAGGCAGTCAATATTGCTTTAACTAAAGCCAAGTATCATTCATGTCCCTTGGAACATATCTTAAAAGAAATAATTTGGAATAGTAGGGACCTATTTATATCATTTTTATCTCTAAGTTACTTTTTGGCAAAATGGTATCACCCTAGATCAGTGAATTCATCCTACGAATGATGAGTCCCATAGAAGAAGATTCTGAAAGCCATATTTGGCAGAGAAAAAATTTATGAATTCCTGTTTAAAATTGATTTTATAAAGCCAAATATATGCTTTACCCGAATATTACTGCAGAAATTGCTGCAGCAGATATATCAGCAAAGAGGAAAATATATGTGAAACGCCACGATTGCGAATCCATCAAGAATATTGAATGTGATATAGTATTAGCTATAGTCCTTCCTATATCACAACATGGATCCAGTAAGGGATATCCAATAAACGTGACTAAAGCCTGAAATCCCATGTTAGTAAACTGCTAGAAAAGGCAATATAAAACTGCTTAGAATCACTAGTCTAAAATAAATTTTGAAACACAAATCATATTTTTTCTGCGAAGTAAAGAAGTATTAAAGATGGATTCCACGAATTCATTGCGATAAAGTTGAATGGAAGCTTAAAAGAGAAGGAAATTTTCACTAACTCCTGGCTGATATTTAGCACTTCATGCAATCATGGATGGAAAAGGACCGCATTATCAGTTCCAACAGAAGCTTCGATATTTTCGCACTGAATCGCAACGGGTATCTTTTGCAACAAATTTTGAGAAATCCAAGCTCTTAAGCAACGCTAATTTGCCACAGAGGTTCAAGACATAAACCAAAGTCATTATCCTAATTTTTTTTTCTAACACTCTCACTCACTCACAGGCACTCACCATTATTGGTTGGACTCGCTTGGCTGGCTTGTCGGATAGACAAAATATGCCAGAGAGGTGATAGAAATACAGATGAGACGCCAGCATTGCCCTAATACAAAATGTAGTGACTAACTCTTATGAGGGCAACTAGTGTAGCGCATATTAATCCATGTCGACCACTGTTTTTGGCAGCAGTAAAGAGATAGGAACAACACATTAGAGTCATTAAAATTATTTCGAGAAAAAAAACCTGCAAAATATATAATACATCAATTTGCAAATGTATATTAATAAAAATAAGGCAAAATAAGACATATTGGCTATCGCTATATCGGCAAATAATTGACCGACTACTTTCGAAAAAATGCAGAGGCGTTCAATTTAATAATTATTAGAATGAGTGATTAAGAGGATTTTGCCTGCAGTCTCATATCAGTCTCGATGCGATAGGAATTAAACACGAAATCGGCATAATCGGAGTCTGAAATAAGAGATTTAAGTAGAATAGCACCAGTAAACGATCCAAATATTTGCATAAATATCATTAAACCGCCGATAATTATTCGACATTCTCTGATAAAAATGATGCAAAGCGTTATAGCTGAAAGAGAAAAAAAAAAGAAAATTGTTAATATATTTATTTAAATTATATCCGAACAATTTGCAAAATTCTTTTTTTTTCTAGAAATTATAATTCTTCAAAAGCTCGAAAAAGAATATTGATAAACTAAAATAATTTAAATAATTTGAACAAAACTGTAATTTTGTGCATATTAACATTAATTATCACTGCTATCATTTAAATAATCAATAAAAAAATACCAAGTGGTAAGCTAAAATTAATTTCACAAATATAACCTGAATTAAAATGAGCGCCACTAATTTGGCCAAAAATAATAATTAGCCCGAAAATTATCGCTCCCTCATAAACTGAAGATGGAAATTGTGGATTATTTGTCGAAAATCTCAACAATATGCCTAAAATTAAATTGAACTGAAATAATTACTCGTGAATTTTAAATTATATTTTATTTCTATTAAATTTTTTTATTTATATATTTACCATTTTTTGAAATTTTAAAATTATAAATTTGTGGCCAAATTAATTTATAAATTTAAATCAATTTAATATTGGTCAATTTAAATTATTTGAATAAATTAGTTCATGAATTTATAAAAAAATTATAAATCATATTTTTTTCCTTTCTTCTTTCATTTTACTTCCTCTTAAATTGGTCATTTGAATGCCTCCGATGATTTGAATTTAGATCTTAGAGTAATCTAAAATTTATGTGAATAGAACAATGAGTATCTTCTATCAGTGAGTATGAGTAGATGAATTAATAGCTTTTATCTAAGTGATAGCCGAATGATTCTCATACAAATTGAATTTTACTTACTTAATACTTACTTAATAAAGAGAACAAGAAAGATCCAAAAAATTCAGCAAAAGCTGGCTTAAAAAAATCCCCAATTGATATTTCACGAACGTTTTCATCGTCGTTTATCCTGAAAATTTTCATTATTCATTCGATTTCGAGCATATATTTATGAACTTTATGGGCTAAATAATAAAATTAGTGTTCTTTGGTGCATTTTCAAATAAAAATTCGATTTTTATTTAAATTCCAAAAATCTAAAAATGATATAAGCCTTTCGTGTAATTTTGCGATTATCTATATGTGGGATAGGAAAAATCTTCCTTTGAGTTGAATGATCTATGATCATTATGCGAGAAAATTTTAAAAACTATTGCCATTGCCATTTTTCTCTCATTAGTTTAAGCTAATCTTATCATTTTTCAAAACCATTTTGGCTTAAATCAGAAACGGGCATATCACATCACGGCGTTTACTTTATCAAAGTCCGACCACAATCTTTGCAATGCAACACAAAAAATAAAGACTTAGAGTGAGATGAATTTGCATCGCGTAAGGCTGAGACTTGCATGTAAATCATTTATATGGAGAGCTTTTTTCCGAACTATTTTGAGATGAACC